TTCACCGTATTTATTATTCTTGTACACATGTTAATCAGTATGCGTCACTGACAGTTGTATTGCTGTTTTCAATTCAAGTTGTAAAACAGTCGTTTGATAAAATAATCACAACGCTTTTGGAAAACAACTTCATTTACAAATGAGTACGTCAATTTATAAAAACATTAAAAAATTTGCAGTTTTTTTAGATTCGTTAGATTACCTAATAAGTTATTTTCATTATTAATTCGTCTTAAAGTCGTATTTTCAATAAATTGACCCAGCATTTAACAAGTATTAAAAAAAAAAAATTAAAAAAAATGCGCGCGTATTGTGGTCCCATTTAATGTGCCAGTATCAAGCCTGAAAAAACTACAGAGAGAGCGTACATTTTTTTATTATAACCTGTTAAAAAAATTACTTTAAACAAATCTGTAATAATTTTTTTTTTTTTAAATAACTTTCTCACAAAAGTAATTACTAACAGTGTGTTTCGACTTCGATGACTAAAATAAACGAGCACGTTTTGAAACGTGGGATAATTTTAAACGATAAACCTCGTTTAAACCTTGATAAAAACGTTTGAAGCGTGACCATAGGTTATATTGATCGTGAAATAAGTCTTTACTTAATGCGTTCAATGATTTTTTTAGCCATCACTGGAACAAGATTTACTCGGTAAGTTACCTATAAGCCATTATAAAAGCGCTTTTGAAAAATATTTAAAAGAATATAAGAAATAGATCAAGGCTTCCTAATGCTTTTAAAATAAATTTTTTAAATTTTAATCGGATCTTTTGGTTCATATACTTATATAGTAAAAATAAAAAAAAATTTGACAATCACTTGTAAGACATGATGCGTTCGTGGTTATTTAAAATCGTGTTAAATATTTAATGAAGTATTTTACCAAATAAAAAAAAAAAAAAAAAACTTGCTTTGAATGAGATTTGAAGCTGGTGCTGCAAAACAAAAGTCTGGAGATGATCGCTAGCCATCTGAGCTATAAACGAATGAGGTATAAAGAGATGAGGAGCTACTTATGTTCATCGTAAAGATCCAAAGCTTTATATTTAATAAAAGCTTTATCACATTATAACAGTTAAGTGATGTATAAACGGTCAACAAATATAAGTCATTTTAAAAATAAAAAAGACTTCAATGTACTGACGCGGTTTGGTGAAGGCATTAGTATATTATTTAATAATATTACTAATTACAAAACAAAATTCGAGCGTACTGTATCATTGTAGTAAATGCGTTTATTTATTATACAATAATTTCACTTGTCAGAAAACTAAAAAATAATTAAGCTCAATGGGTTATTGGGGTGAAGGTACTAGTTTATAACTGCAGAAAAATAGTAAGTTTATTGTGTTCATCTCGTCATTTTTGGAAAAATAAAAGACAACATCTTACTAACTTGACAATTATGCTTTTGTTTCTATAGTTAAATTAATGATCAACTGCATTTAAAAATTTTATCTTGCTTTCAGGGAAGGCAAGCTAAAAAAGTAATACACACAGCTCTTTTCCATGCGTATCAGTATACAACTATAGCTATAGATATATAGCCAGTTGCATGCATATACCTTCCCCTCTTTATCACCGAAGCGCACATTCAAGCTACTCATGTCTCAGTCAACTATCTTTCCTCAGCTCTCCCATAAGCTGAGCCTTTGTGCCACCAGCCAATAGAAAATCTATGCAGAGTTCCTCTGCTGGCCACTATGGATTAGCGCTCAAATTCTCGCCCATCATTGGCCCAGTATTTAGCATAGGCACTGGAATTTTTCCTACTTATCTATGTAGAGGCTGTTACTTTTCAATGGGCATTGGTGAGTTCTATAATGGCTTTTTTTTTTTTTTAAATCCCAAACGACACATTCTGTAGAAATTTTTGATTAAAAATGTGTTGCAATAAAAAGAATAGAATGATCTACTATTCATTATAAATTTGTAAAAAAATAGTACTCAGTAACGTATCTTGCTTATTCCATGGTATATCTGTTACATTTTCAGCTGGTAAATTTTCTTTGAATAAACAGACATAGGCTTATTTGCTCTATTAAAATATTAAACGTAAATTTCACAGTTTGTCCTACTAGTTGCTTAAAAAAAAGACTGACGTTGATCAATGTTCAGTTGTATGACAAGATCTATGTGTTTGTTAGGATTTTTAATCAAATAGTTGCTGTCGTTGTTCAACATTTTGTCAGCAGAGGAAATTATTATTTTTGCATGGTCACAGCAACTTACAATAATGCCAGCTGAATTCGTTTCACCATCTTCTTAAATTATTTAGTAAAATTTTATTGGTAATGATCATCGTCATACTAAATTTCTCAATACTACGAATATTTTGGCTGTTCATGAATAAAAAAAAGACGAAACCGTTAAATACTGTAATTTCTTGCATACTGGTCTTGAGTGAGATATGATTGCCAGGTTGCTCTAAGTTGAGAAAGTACAATTTGAAATTTAAATAATATTTTTAAAACTGGAAACTTACTGCAAAACAGTTGTTTCTGCAGCCAGCAAAATAAGAACGTTGGTGGGCTAGTGGACTGAAGGTGACTAGGCCACATTTACAGCCTTATGCAATTTTTTTCCTCTATTATTTATTTAATTTCAATAACTGTAAGGATCATCTACAACAGTTATATTTTGTGCATGAAATATATATAGCTGCACACTTGTGAGTTTTGAGCAAGTCCAAGCTCCCTTTCTATTGTCAAATGTGCCATCAGCATTATGTTGCACCACGTTCTTATAACAGCATTAGGTAACTTTTGCTGAACCTTCGTTATAATCAATAAATATTTTAACAATTTTCACTACAGCCTTTGGAGCAGCTGGAGATCCACAGCCACTTCATGATAAAAAACATTCTGGTACATCTTTTTGTCAAACTTCATCAGCCATTGATATTTTTTTATAAACACATTTACTTAGTAGATAAGCAATGGTTTCAGAGTAGTCAACATTTTTTGTATCTTTTTCAGTAGCTTCATTCATTGTTCGAATAACTTTTTCTGTGTGACGATGAAAATGGTTATCGTCCTTACAAGTTGTGCGCAATAGGACCAATACGAGTGTAGGACTTATAATGATAGGATGCATATAATAAATTGTTATTGTTTAGTTCTTAATTCAGTTTTTTTGTTGTTGTTTCAGTTTATTTGACTAAACTGCTTGAGTAGGAAAAGAAATCTTATTTTCGTGATTAGAAGCTTATGGAAATTTATTTTTTTTTAGCAATCCTCAATTGAAGTCCTGTTAGATTTACGTACAAAGCTTAGTAAAATCAAAAATAAAGTAAAAAAAATCCACACCTCTCCAAACGATGTTAGGCTTATTACTGGAATATGCAGTTTACTTTAAACATTTGCTTCAAACGGAGTTTCTGGCGATGAATTTCATTGATCCTAGAGATAGTGTGATATCATGTGATATCGTGGTTACGTTGTTCGCGTAATATAAATAACTTGTTCTTATTTTAAAATTATTTTGACAGAATTGAGATTTTTCAAATAACTGATAAAGGTATCCGTATAATCATAGTAAGCAAACTCTTTTTGTTTCTATGATATTACCAGAAAAAAATTGTCATTATAAGTACCATTAAAGTCTTATTCTTGGAGTCACCTTCATTAGTTGACTAGCACTCACAGTAATTTTTTCGTTTTACTTAATGAGAAAAGAGACATTGTTCAGCTTGACCACGGTGTAAAAGAAAGGTGTGATCCTGAATTTGGTCAGTCAGTACCCTCCAGCTCTAACGTTAGCTTGGCTCTTGGCTTCTTGGTTACTGTCATGGGCACAGAATTAGCCAGGGTGCTGATTTAACTATCACCTGAAATAATATATACCATATTCTAACAGCCGCGTAGCTAAGACTATGCATACACTTGGTGAGACAATGTGTGTACATATATCGGCAGAGATAGATTGAGAGAGGGGCTGTCATAGCAGACGATGCTACAGTACCATCGGCAGCAACTATAGACTCTGAAGTTAGGTTCAGGAAAAAGTAGGTCCCCATATCTATTATTCCAATATGAGTGAGGTGGGGGCCCACTTTTCTGCCATGTTGAAATTTTCTGTGCCATAACTTGTCATGCTTGCTCGTTTTTATGCGCAAATTTGAGTCTGCTCATGCGATCTCTAGCCCACATGCATATGTTTTTACCAGGTTTCCGTACCTTCTGACCGTGCAACGTTAGCTCTATGTACATTTATACTGTATGTACGTTTTCTGTTAAGTCAGTCAGTCGGTTTGACTAATGAAGTAAGCATATTTAAAGTTATTATACTAGGGGCTGTATTGTGTTGCTTTTTTAACTTTGACAAAAAATGAGGACAACAGTACTTTTATCTTACTGTCACCACATGGTGTCTTAAAGCTACAGACTGTCATGATTTTATTAGGTTAGCTCTTAGCAAAGTTGTACATGTCCTACTAGATTATAAGGTGAAGGTGCGTAATCAGTGTAATATTTTCCCAGTGTTATTATATTTTGCATACGTTATTAAACAAAAAGTATATTTATCTGTTACATTTACAGACTTAAATCTAACTTTGGTAAGAAAATTAATGATCTTGCTGTACTTTTTTATTGAAACAAAAATTATAACAAAATTAGCAAAATTTAAATCTATGATACATGAAAATCAATACAGTACAATATAGTTGAAAATGGTACAGCAAATACATAGAGACAAGCTGTGTGCTTATTGATTAAATGGCTTGAAAATAGAAAAATAAAATGAATTGAATTCAGAAAGGCATGTATACTTAAGAGATGTTGTGATAAATAATTTTTTCGAAGAATTACATAAAAAACAGTGATTTGTTATAAAAAGTGAACAGTATGCATCGAAGAACTCACTTTCTAGCTAATGCCACTCATGCAATTAATGTTATTTTTAGCACTTCCAATGTATGTAAATAACTTTAAGATATTGTTTTTGATTTACGATGTAAAGTCATAACTTTATTAATTTTTTTTTTTTAATAGGAACCTCGAAATAAAAAACCGTTTAAAGTATGGGATAGCTGGAGGAGTATAAGAAAAGGATTAGTTGTAAGCAATTTTGAAGAACTTATTCAGAAAGGTAAGATTTCTTATGGTTACTACAAAACTTATTTGCCAACTGAAACGATAAGCTCAAAATTTTTCCAGCCCTAGAGACTTTTCTCAAACGGTTACAATCTTTCTAAAATTATGCTTAATAATCTATGTCGTTCTCTAAACTTTTTTACTATCATACTCTTAGAAACAAAGATTGAACTTAAAACAGTAATTCAAATTTAACTTTAAATTTTTTCAACTTTTGTATAGTTCTTACGTGTATTGTAATGTAGGAATCTGTGACTACAAGAATTTGACGACAAAGCTTGGAGTTCAAATGAAATATGGTGAATAGACGTATCGTGTTATAGTGTTTTGGTTATTTATGTATTGTATATATGTTAGAGAATGTAACTAGTCAATTTAGGTAATAAGGCAATATGGCTGGCTCTTATGTTTAACAGTGAACATGTGCATCAGCTACATAAGTTGCACTCCATTACGAAGCCTGATTTGTCAGCGGTTAATCGGTATAAACGTAGTATCAAGCGAAAACATTTTATGTATTAAAAGCTCTAAATAATAAAAGACAAGTTATTTGCTGTAGTCAAAACTTGTTGACTTGATTTTTAAAATCAAAAAATAGCACAAGTTTGGAGCATGAATGTTTTTGAGTATCATGACATCACCTATACGTTATCACGCAAATTTATGCAAACAAATTCTACCTCCTTAGTAAAGTAGTTTTCTAGTTACAATTTTAAAACATAGCATACAAGAAAACATGATATATTATATTTTACAACTGTTATAAATTTTTTTTCATCAACCATTTTGTCACAACTTGCTAAAAATAACATTACTGTAGAAAACTACAACTGGTATAGGACTTTCTACACTGGAATTATTGCAATGTACGGGCCAATTATTGGTTATATTTAATGCAGTCCATTTTACTTTACAAGTGCAAAGTTAAACTAACACTTCTAAAAAGTAAGATTGTTCTTTACGTGTTCATATTCTGAGGATGAACCTTAAGTCTTGCTAATAATACTCTGAGTAAAAAGTTTTTCTCTAACAAAACTAGATAAATTTTCATATTTCAGCACATTATGATGAAAAACTTCTCTGGTTATCCCGAGCTGCAAAGTGAATAGCTAATTTGCCTCCTTATCATCTAGCGTGCTACACATAGTCACTAGTGTGTTGATTTTATTACAAACTTGTAAATAATATTAGTGCATTTGGGTCAGCACATGGACACCCGCAAGCACACTGTGAACGCGCTTACGTAGTGTCACTGAACAGAGAGAAAACTGTTGTACAAGTCGTGGGCTCCCCTTCTTCCCTGTGGATCACCATCACCATCCTGGAACCAGGCACATGCACATGTATATACATACACTAATCGTGCAACAAACGCAGGGAAAAATCCAAGAGAGAACGAATCCCTACCACGTTAGTCCATGCACAAAAAGTAGGGAAAGACGGTTGCGTGACACCGTTCTTATTGGGCGCTACTCTGCCATTCGGATATTCTGTCATTGGCATTAATAAATTGTATTTCCATTCAATTTAACTCCGTCATACCGCGCACCGCGTTAGTTGTCGTTGTCATTGCTGGTGCTACTTCTTGCTTGCGATCTCCTCTCTCCACTTACCTTCTCCTTGTCTGCCACATTTTTCTGCTGAATGACACACTTAAACACGTAATCACACGTACTCTGGAGAGTGGCACACGCGCGCGCGCGCTCGTGCAGCACACCAATTGAGGAACTATTAAATTTTTGCATACTTGATAAGGTCACAGTTTGTGGGAGCTTGATAAGCATTATTATTAGCCTTGACAACTCTAGTTTCACCATGCGTGATAGTGCCTATGCTATTTAAGTCAGAAAATGCTGAGATAAGAAGTGTTAAAAATTTTTGTATTTTTCATTGAATAGGCAATTTCAAGGCATTATAATATTTTTCCTGCTACCAGCTTTTTTCACAACATTCCGCGCTCTTCAATGCTGAACTTACAACTTTTTAAGCACTACCAATAGGAATCAGGGTATTCGAGGCATTTGAAATCAAGCTTTTTAAAGGATTTTTTTTGGGTATTATTTTCTTTACTTGCTTTATAGAATTCATACAAGGGCATGAGAACCGTGAGTTTTTCTCAAAAATTATCGTCTTTTGCTTCGAGTCTTTGCTACGCCTTTTCAGCAAGAATTTTTTCAGTGGTATTTCTTGGTACAACATCTTTCTCATCTTGAAAAAAGGTTTTATCATGTTGTTTACAACTGTACAGCCTTTACGATAATAAGTGATCATTACTTTTTGACTGCTCAACGATAAATACGCTTGAAAATAAAAGTACAGCACTATTATTTATAGTTTCATATTTCATTATACATTTAACAAGAGCTCTACAAAACATAATATTCAACTTTACGTCATGAATTTCAGTAAACTTACAAGCAGAACTAAAAAATAAGATGATGAATAAGCTTAAAAGAATATAGGCATACTATTTTTAGTATCATGTTGCAGCTTCAGCTGAACCAGCATACAGTAAACATGTACTTTGCGAAACATAATATTTCACTTCTGGTCAAAATCTTTTTAAAAATGATTAGCAAAATTACAAAATACGATGCTAGATGAGTTTAAAAGTATAAAAGCTAATGATAAAATATAAAGCTAACGAAGAAAAGAGTGCGTCGTAAGAGTGAGACCTTCGTTCTAGCCAGTTCCAACTAGAGAGATAGCTTCCTTCAGCATGCTATTTGGTTATCCCTCGTCTCTCCTACTACAATTGTATTCAGTAGTCCTAAGAAAAAGGGGGCGCACGTACATGTAGCTACGATACCGTACATGACACGTCCAAGGCCATTACGCTGGCGTCCTTGGTGACAGTTTCCTTCTTCATTTGTATGTTGATAATATAGAAGTGTTACTGTCATGTTGTTTGTGTTATATATTACTTCTAGTAAAAGAAAAGAGGGTGGTTTCAAGCCCCATGTTCCTGTTTCTCCTTCTGCTTTATTTCAATGTGTCTTGTGTGTATACGTGTTTGTTAATGTTTTTACACTTCCCTCTTACAAAATGTCTCATACCGAAATTCCCTTATGTACTTATGGTACATGATCGCTTTCATATGTTTTTCTTATTTTTATTTACATATCAGCTATACAATAAATAAAAACAAACTTTTTGCATTCAATGATAATAAATTCCCAGGTATTAATGTAATTGTCAATTTCTTTTTTTTTTTTTTTGTTTGTTTCATGGTCTAAGATGTCATGGGTCAAAGGCTGACTGCTTCAACTTAAATATAGTATTGTTATGCGTGTCTATCTTTATGCTAATCCTACTACAAATTTTATTATTGATACAGTTCTTCTTATCACATTTTTATTACATAAATAATTTCTCACTTTTTTTTTTTTAATATTTTGCTTATCATAAACTACCTATATTTCACAATACATGGTAATTCGAAAATATTTGGATGATGAGAATACATTTTCTACTATATTCAAGTTACTTAATAAATCCATAACTTCACTGACTTTCTGTGTACTTATTACATTCTGGTAATAACAGTATGAGCAATTATGACGGATAAGTGTATTTTAGTTGTTGTGGAGGACGTAATTGTCAATGTTTACTGTGTTTGGCCTAATTAATCATTATTGTTATTATTATAGTTATTATTATTATTATTATTATTATTATTATCATCATTATTATTATTGTAATCAATC